CTAACTAACTAACGAACGAACGAACGAACGAACGAACTAACGAACTAACGAACTAACGAACTAACGAAATAACCAACTAACGAACTAACGAACTAACTAACGAACTAACTAACTAACTAACTAACTAACTAACTAACTAAACAAACAAATTAACTAACTAACTAACTAACTAACTAACTAACTAACTAATTAACTTACTAGCTAATTAATTAACTAACTAACTAACTAACTAACTAACTAACTAACTAACTAACTAACTAAGTCAAAACGTAGGTACATAAACACATACATGAATAACTAAACAAGTAACTACATCAATAAACAACCAAATCAGTGTTAGAGCTCCCCCAAAGCCCTCAACCCGAAAGCCACAACTTAATTACCAGTAAACTCTTCGAAGCGAGCCCGGGCGACCCAGAACCGGAAGCCAAGATAGGGGTTGAGGGTTTAAGGGTTAGGGAAGAAGCTAAACCCTCACCCTGACTCCTAAAACCCTAAACCCTAAACCCCTGAACTATATAAACCCTCCCCCTGACCCCTAAAACCATAAACTCTACACCCCTAAAACACTAAATAAACCCTCGCCCTGACCCCTACACTTGCCCTGGACCAAACATCTGTCAACCTTGCTGCGTCCTCCTTTTACAGCAAGGCCGCGTCGGCCAGAGAAATGACTTTAGGGTGCAGGGCTTTCTGGTTCTCACCCCGTACACCCAGAATTCAAACCCTCGGCCGTCTGCGCACAATCAAATGACCCCTACATCCAACACCTAAAGCCCACAAGTCCTAAGCCCCCTAAACCCTAAGCCAAAACCCCTAAACCCCTAAAGCCCACAACTCCTAAGCCCCCTAAACCCTAAACCCCTACAAGCCCGCAAGTCCTAAGCCCCCGTAAACCCTAAACCCTTAAACCCGTAAGGCCCACAAGTCCTAAGCCCCCTAAACCCTAAACCCTAAACCAACCCAAAGGACCACAAGTCCTTCGCCCCCTAAACCCTAAACCCTAAAGCCCACAAGTCCTAAGCCCTGAGCCCTCGACCCAAAGGGTCCCTTTCCCAATCCTCGGAGCGGGCAGTTGCTCGGCGACGGCGCAGGAGCTGATACTTGCCGGGCTTCCTTGGATGCTTCTGCTCTAAAGAAGTTGTAGCATGTCGGGTTTAGGGGTTCGGGATCTAGAGTTTGTGACGCTTTACGCCTGAGGGCTCTAGGGTCTACATGAAACCTATCGTGGCCCGTCGAAGCCCACTGAATGGTTTTCGTTGAGGCTTTTGTGTTCTCCTAAACCAAAACCCTATACCCTAAACCCTAAACCCTAAACCCTGAACCCTAAACCCTAAACCAGGACGCCTAAGAACACAGAAGCCTCAACGAAAACCATGGTGCTCAATGAGCCTCAATGGGCCTCAATCCACTTCAATGGGCCTCCCCCAACGAGCCATCATTGACCGGGTTGCCAAAGATGTCTTTCATAAATTCGTAGAATTGCCCGGCTTCATTATCATTGGCGAAAGCTTTCCCTGGTATTCATACGGATCGGCCATGGATCCCAAAACAACACTTAACCCTAAACCCTAAACCCTTAAGTTCCTAAAGAACCAACCCTAAATCTTAAAGAGCCTAAAGCATAGAAGTTGCGTCTCATGGTTTAGGAGTTAGGGTTTAGTAACCCAGGGTTTAGGGTACGTACAAGAGTTGAGGTCATTACCGGACTTTGGGCTGAAGCTTCATTTAAAGGGTTTAGGGTTTAGGGTTTAGGGTTTAGGGTTTAGGGTTTAAATTCAGTGATAGGATTATTCAGGGTCTAGGGGTTTAGTGTTTTTTTGCGGTTAGGGGTCTAGGGTGTAGGGTTTAGGGTTTAAGGGTTTGCGGTTTAGGGTCTACCTTTCCGCGGAACTCCATACGAAAACCATAGTCAGAGACCCCAATCCCTAAACCCTAAAACCCAGGAACCCAAAACATGTAAGGTTTAGGGTTTAGGGCTCATCTTAACCAGCGGCCTCTCGAATGTCTCGCCCGTGGGGTCCCAAACGTTGCCAGTCTTCTCTTTGAAGACCTGCAGACTTCGAGCCATCGAACCGAACCAAGCTAGTTTTCACTAGTTCTTTGCCAAGCCCGCTGAACCCCATTACATCCTCAGCTCCTCCTTAAACCCATCGGTATTTGCAGTAGTTTATAAAGGTTGTTCCTAAACTCCTAGCCCTAGATTCCAAACGCAACAATGTCTAAATGCTCATGCCACGGTCTTGTGAGAACGGTCTGGCATCCTCTCTGCATTAGGGCATTGTCAATTGTGGCGTCCCTCTCTGTCTCTCTCGCTATCTATCTGTCTATCTATCTATCTATCTATCTATCTATCCTATCCTATCCTATCCTATCCTATCCTATCCTATCCTATCTAATCTCATCTAATCTCATCTCATCTAATCTAATCTAATCTAATCTAATCTAATCTAATCTAATCTAATCTAATCTAATCTAATCTATGTATACATATATTTTTTGTCTTTCTTTATACATAAATCTTTAAATACATACTTACATGAATTAGACATCAAGGCCGTAAACCCTAAACCCTAAACCCTAAACCGCCCACAGAAAGGAGCTCTAACACCAAAACCTTGAACCCCATACCCGTCACAAGAAGCCTCTAGGTGCTCTTGAGACCTAAACCATAAACCCCTACATCCCCAAAGCCTAAACCCTAGGCCCCGAGACCACGCAAAAAGGGTTTGGGGCCATTTCGGAGTCCCTGGGATGACCCCAAAGTGTCGGTCATAGAAGCACTGATGTACCCTGAACCTGCTTAGTGACAGTGCCCTACCCATAGGCCCCATGTTAGTTCCTTTTTGTGGCTTATACTTAGGATCCTACTAGGTAAGCCCAACAAAGAACTACTATGGGGCCTATGGGTAGTTGAGTTGGCGTTGAGACCCAGATTTTATACAGGGCCTAGTACAGTTTTTTTTTAAATCACCTCTTTTCCTTCGCCTGATAAGGTCTCCGGAATACCATGTTGGTTGAGGCAGGGGACCAGGAGCCCAGTACTGACTGAGAAAGGGGATTAGTACGGTTTTAGGATTTAGGGCTCATGCTTTAGGACCTTTTTGGCTTGTGACACCATCATCGAGCATCTCACACTCTCAAACCCCTAAACCGCTTCATGCCCGACATAAAGCCCTGTCCTGAACCCGATAAAACCGTAGACCCACAAACCACAAAGTAAAGCTTGTCATGTGCATATGTTATAAGACCCCATGAACTCTGAAAAGCAAAACCCTTAACCCCAAATGCCCTCAACCTTTAACCCTATATGACCCTAAACCCTAAACCCACAACCCCAAAACCCTCAACCCTTAACCCTATATGACCCCAAACCCCAAACCCTCAACCCCAAAAAACCCTCAACCTTAAACCCCCCAATTTCTGTGCCTTGCCAAAGTCCTTGAGCCCCTCCTCCTTGTTGGCGGCCGGTGTTCGCTGGAACGCGCCTGTCTCCTTGGCTTAAGCTTTTCGGCTAAGGGAACCTTGCCTAGGGAGCCATATGGGGTGCTGTAAGGGTGGTGTTTTAATTCTTAGGTTTAGTTCGGGCTTCAGGGGTTTAGGCAAGAGGTATCATCCACTTGATGCACGAGCCTTCACATGGATCGAACCTCTTCGCCATGTTGTAAGGGAAACTGAGATGTTGTAAATTGCGGTATGTAGATATGTATGTGTATATATATATATGTATAAAACCTATATATATATATATACACATGTGTATATATATATATATATAAGGTATGTATATATATATATATACACAACACACATGTTATACCACACAACTGTGTAAGCTTCACACAAAGAAAGCCACTAAGTCCCTAGGCCTGAGCCATCACGCCAAAATTCAGTCAGAGAAGAGGACAACACGAACCCTGACCCGTGTAACTGGAAACCCGAAACCCCAAAAGCCTTAGGGTTTAGGGTTTAGGGTCCTGAACCCTAAAACCTAAACCCTAAAACCCGAAACTAAACCCCGGAACCCAAAACCGCTAAGCTACATCAACAGCGGAACATGAACACCCCGAGCTCGACGACGAAACGCCCCAGCTGTTAACCCCGAAGCTTTAACAACACCTCAACCCAAAAGCCCTGAAGCCCCAACGTGAGCAACGTAAACTCAAGATGAAATCATTGGGAGTTAGGATTTTGGGGGCCCCTTGGGGCTATAGACCCTCTCAATAAGGTCAGGGCTTCAATAGGTACGTAATCATATGGGTAGTTTTTCGGAATTAATTGGGGTCCCTTTTGGGCTCCTTTTCATAAGGGTGCCGTACTATGTTGGGGACCGAGAAGGGGCCTCATTTGGGGAACTACCCATTTTTGGGTTCCGAAAGCCTGCATACCCTAATCCTTGACATTCTGAGCCTAAACCTTAGGCCCCAAGAGAGACCCTCAACGAAAACCGTACTACCCATAAACATAAAACCCGAAACCCCTAAAGAACCCTCTAAACCCCTTCAAGAACCCCCTTGAACCCCTGTCATTCTAGGCACTCCAATCTCACCCCAGCGCGTAAAGAGGACGAAGAGGTCTTTGTTCGTCTCGTGGATCAACCTCACCAATGTAAGGTGGAGTTACCTTAACCTCAAAGAACCTACTTTTTAAGGACTTATATAAAAAAGTGTAATAAGGAACCCTAAAAAGGTAGGTTCTTTAGGGTACAGGTAGGGGTGAGGATGGTTTAGGACTAAGGGTCTTTAATGCTTAGGTTGCCCCTTCTTGCGGCACCAAAGACTGGAAAATAGTAGGTTCCGACCCTTTAAGGATCAACCCCACCGGTTTCGGGATACCGGAATCAAGGGGCTTACCATAGGGGCCTTAATAATAATCTATAGTGTTTTGGGGGTTCCAGATTCTAATCATAGTATAACCGAAGGGTCCAAGTGCCCATTATTTAAGGACTTTGGAGCCTTTTTGGGTACTTTAAATCCATAAATAAGGACTACTTGGACCCTTAGGGCAATCTACCCCAAAACCCTATGCTAATTATTCAGGCCCCTACATTACCTATCTAGAGACTGTGACTCTGGGGATTCGGGGTAGCTTGCTCTTCGGGCCTTTAGGGCTACTTATGACTGCTGCTATAAGTACCTCTTTGCTGTACTACAGAAGCCTCAATAATTACCAATGCAAGCGGAGATCTTAAGTCTCCGGATTGACAAGAGTGAAAAAAGATAGAGACAGAAAGAGAGAGAGAGAGCGAGGGAGCGAGAGCAAGAGCGAGAAGCGAGAGAGAGCCGGAGGGAGGTCGACAGGGAGAGGAAGAGCGTCCACATGCCGCACATGCGGGGCATGTAGCTGCAGGTGGTAGAAGCGCATCTCATCTCGCTTCAAGTCCACCTGGAGAAAAGCAGGACAGGTTTAGGTTTCGGGTTTGGGTTAGGGTTTAGGGTTTAGGGTTTAGGGTTTAGGGTTTAGGGTTTAGGGTTTAGGGTTTAGGGTTTAGAGTTTAGGGGTGTAGGGAGGACAGAAAGCCGGGTTTAGGGTGGAAGCGCTTTCTTTTGGGCTTCATGGCCTTCGGGCCCGGGCCTCACAAGACAGAAAGCACCGACAAATGAGAATGCAGGGGCCTTAATTCCCTAAAAGGGTTCAGGGTTTACCCAGAGGGTCCGAGTACCCAAATAGTCAGGTTTTAGGTGCCAAAATCCATACTCTGAATGGTTTTTGGATCTTGAAACCCGACTATTTGGGTTCTTGGACCCTTTGGGTTTAGGGTTTTAGGGTCTCGGGTTTAGGGTTTCCCTGAATGACTTGGACTAGGGTTGGGGGATGTTACCCAAAATCCTGGCCACCCAACCCGACAACAGGCAACAACCTTAGATGCAAGGCTCCAACACCTCGCGTCTGGGTTCATACGATCAGATGCCGTTGCGTGTCACACCCTGAATATGATCGATTAAGGACCCTAAACCCTAAACCCTAAATCCCTAAACCCGAAAACCCTAAACATCCCCCGTGAACCCAAGGCTTTCACGAAAAGGTCGGCTCTCAACGACACCCTGACGCAGGAGGATCCCAGGAAACTCACGAGCCAGATGCCATGATCCCGAAACGGTTTAGAGCTTAGGGTTTAGGGGCTTAGGGGTTTAGGGTTTAGGGCTTATGGCTTTAGGGGTTTGGGGTTTAGGGTTGAGGCTTTAGGGTTTAGGGCTTCGGGGTTTAGGGGTTCAGGATTTAGGGTTGAGGGGGCCTTAATAATAAGAACAGGCTTTTAGGGTATATTATACTAGAATTAGAATAAGAACCCCCCCCCCCCCCAAAANNAAATAGCATAGGTAATTATGAAGGCTTCCATATTCGGGATGCAGGCGTAGGGCCTTCGGGTCGAAGCACTGGTGGTCTATCTAGGGTTTGTGGCACTAGGGGTTTTGATGTATGGGCCTCCTAATCCCTAAACCAAAACGCGTGTCGCCTTGAAAAGCAGTGCGTCGCACTCCAGCCCCTGCCTGAGGTGGAACCCGGTTGTGACTCACGGCTTCAATCTGGAGTTTAGGGTTGAGGACTGTACGGAGCAGGGGTTCCCAAAGGCCGTTGAATACGAAACGGGTCCCATAAGGGATCTCAAAGGACCTAGGAGACTTCTGTAGTATGAGAGCCTCAATACTTGGAATAGGGCTTTGGGAGGTGTGTTCCAGTACAAACTTATGTATTCAGACCCCTAGATTAGCCTTGGAAGGTTCCGGGGTCTGGGGTTAGCAAGGCTTCAATCAAAACTACGTCCGAGTCTTCATATAATGTCCGAGCTCTAGGTATCTATGGGCTTGTTTAGGGNNTTAGGGTCTAGGGTTAATAGGGTTTATAGGGTCTAGGGCTTGAGGTATGGATTTGCATGTCGCGCAGTTAGGAGCTATCTGTCCAAAGTCTAGGACAATACTTCTGAGAAGATTCGTCACGAATGCACTCACCCGAGATCTTCTGCATGCACAAACCCTATTCGACAAGCCCTGAACCCTAAACCCTGAACCCTAAATCCTAAACCTTAAACTCTAAACCCCCAAACCCTGAACCCCAAATCCTAAACCCTAAACCCCTAAACCCCTAAACCCCCAAACCCTGAACCCCAAAT